GAATAGCATTTGATGCTTCAGAAGTGCGTATTGGTGCATTTCTATTCCATAGATTCCCAGATGGATCAGAACGTCATGTTTTCAATGTTTCAAAGACACTTCCAAGCGCTCAGAGAAATTACAGCCAGATTCATAAGGATGCACTTGCAATTATTTTTGCCTTACAAAAAGTTCACAATTGTGACAGATCACAGACCACTTCTGGCTTTATTCAACCCGACGAAAGCTACTCCTAAACTGGCATTAAAACCGACTGACAAGATGGGCTCTAATTTTACAATAATACAACTACACGATTAAATACAGGAAGACTTCAGAACACGGAAATGCAGATGTGTTGAGTCGCTTACCATCGGGTAAAGATCCAAAATTTGATGCTGCAGAGGAGCAACTGGATTTTTCAAAGGTGTGTACAATTAACTCAGTCACCCAGAAAATGTTGCATTTAGATTCAAAGTTGATTGAGAATGAATCGCAAAAGGATCCGGTTGTTTTTTCTGTCGGTAAATTCCTTCAGAAGGGCTGGCCTAGAGAAATTTCAAGCAAGGAAATTCTACATTTTATGAAATTGAAAAATTTCTGTTTACTGATAGGAAACAGAGTGGTAATCCCAGAATCTTTTAAAAAAAGCTCTCGAACTTTTACATCTGGGACGCTTTGGCATGCAACGAATGAAGCAACTGGTACGATCAGCGATTTATTGGCAAAACATTGTGCAGAGAATGTTCATCATTTCAAAAACATCAGAGCAATACTCCTAAAGCGCCCAACGAGCCTTGGCCTGTTCCGGATAGACCTTGGGGTAGATTACACATCGACCATGCCATAAACTTTATGGGAACAAATTGGCTCGAGATCGTGGATGCTTTTTCTGAATACCCTAGCATCCATCCAACAACAAAAATTACGGCATCGTCAACTATTGACTTGCTAGAACAGGAGTTTACACATTTTGGATACCCGCTCGCAATGGTAACTGATAATGCTACAACTTTCACTTGTGAAGAATTTCAACTCTATTTGAAAGAGAGGAGGATTCAGCACCTTACAGGTGCCCCATACCACCCGGCGACTAATGGTCAGGCAGAGAGGTTCGTTCAAACTTTCAAAAGGTCTATGGCAAAATCAACATTACCGACCGAAGCTTTCTTCCAAGAGTTCCTTATGCAATACAGAAGAACTCTTTTGTCAACCGTTCTTTTGCCAAGTCAATTAACTGCATGGCAGGCAAATACGAACTAAAACTGATATTCTCTAACTAATTTCGTAAGGGAAAGAGAGGGAAAAGAACTACAATAAGAAGAAAGGTTCGATAGGTCAACCGTGTTATGTCAAGTACTATGGCCCAAGAAGAGATTGCCAAGCCAGATGGGTTCCTGCAATAGTTTTTCAAAGATTAGGTCGAAGATACTTATTGGTAAAATCGATCCCACATGGTCCTCTATGGAAACGACACGTAGAGCTAATCCGTTCTAGATACGGTGCCAACCAAGATGGGACCCAGGGGAAATCACTAGGACCCAGTTCCAATTTGACTCAAGGCATTCAATCGTCAAACCTACCATGCCTGAAAGTAGTCAAGTGCTTTTCGACCCGATATCTCTGCCCAGAAGATCGGAACGTATACGCCATAAGTTTGCCCACAAACTTTAGTTTGTTGGGGAGATGTTATGCGCTAATTATTGTTTTATTGCTTATGGGCGATAATTGATTGTTAACGTGACCCTAATTGTATTCGTTCAATTCGTTGATTATAGAACTTGTTACTCGTTATATTTATTAAACCGTAATAAAATAGTATATGTTCATACGCTTATTGTTGTCTAATTAGTTTAGTTTCAACTCTTCAAACCACGAAACACGACAATATATATGAAAATCACAGCATGTTCGGCGTTAGTTAACTTCTACATTACAATAACAACCAATTCGAACAATTATTTTATCGATGTTATTCATTTTATTCAAATTAATAATAAAATTTCTAATTCTTTCAAACTGCATTTTTATTTGTACATTTACATAAAATCTTTTTTCGGTAACCTTTATTATCATCAGTGTAATAGAGTTTGTGATGTTGTTTTATGTAGTTCATCTGATATTTATAGTATTTTTAACAAAGGAACTCTAAGTTCCATTGTTTCTTCGTGTGAGAAATTTCTTTGCTGGTAGGATCGTTACTGCCTGTTGTTGGATGTTTATTACAGGGTTTCTATTTTTTATTAATAAAGCCTCCGCCATTCTCAAGTTGCTTATATTGTGGTCGTAAAATAACACTTTGGTATTTGAGTTAATTATTTCCCTTTTTATTTGGTGTGAATCCATTAGATGATTTTTTATTGCACCATTTTGTGTATGCATTGTTAAACTTCTTGACAAATCCGATATATTCTCTGTTTCGGTGCCTACAATCACAGATTTTACTATCAAAAGGATATACTAGATGACTGTTCTTCGTTATCAATTCTGGTTTAGTATTGCAATTATTTTTAAAGATAAGGGATGAGGTTTTGTAGTTCGTGTAATAAATCCTAAGTTTTAATTTTAATTTTCATTGATAGTTTACATTACCGTTTACAATCCTTTTTGTTATTTTCTCATCGGTCTTATAAGCTGTTGACATCGTGTTTTTGTAATAAATTATTATGTCATTTGTTGTTTTTTCATTGTTATTTTTGTTTGTTACACCACGGTCTTTTTTTAATGCGGTGATATTTCTTAATAACTGTATATACGACAGTCTGAACCCATATATATATATATATATATATATATATATATATATATATATATATATATTGTTAAATTTATTTGCTCATTTTGCATTTATCAACTTTTTTATTATGGACTCAACACAGCGTAGTTTTTGACATTCATATTTATTGTGAAATTGTGACATATTAGAAGCTGACAACGTTGTTTCGGCTAGGTAGCCATCATCAGAGCCTAAAACCAATGAAATATAAGAAATTTAATTAAAATAAATGAAAATTAAACGAATTATGTAAATTATTTGGCGGACATGACAGATAAGATATTAAAAATAAAATTGGAATTGAAAGTGAAGTTAAAATGGTACCTTGCGAAGGATGTAACCTAAAAGATAAATTTAATACTAAAACATGAAATTAAATAAAAGTTACTAATTAATAAAAGGTAAAATAAATGAAAATAAACTGGAAAGTTGGAAGAATAGGAAATAAACAATACGTGTGTGATGAATGTGGTGTAATCACTAGTATAAAATATTATGGAACGGTAAGTATATTCTACACAAATTAAATGCATAACTAAGATTATGTGGTTATAAAATGTATGTAGGAATAAAATAAACTAAAATAAATAAGTTAGTAAATAAAATGAAATACGATAAATGTACTATGAATTATGTAATGGGAATTAAATTTAATTAAGACTGTAATAGAGTAGTTAAAGATATAAGTGTAGTAGATTTCCGACGTACACTTATAAATTGTGTATTGACCGGTAGAAAGCTGTCTGCCTGCGAATGATATTCATATCGTGGTGATACAGGCTAGTACGGTTGCTCACGTACAACGTTACACAGTAGAGCCTGATCCCAGTATTGAGAAAATAGTTGTAGGATGTGGTCGAAACTGCTTGATTTCTTGTTTAAAGTGGGTTTATGTTTGTTGATATACAGGGCCTCACGGATTTTAAGTCGACCAGGATGCATTTCAGTGTCAAGTATCGTGGTATTCGAAACCAAAATGGTTCTGGTGAGAGGCATATGGTGTTCACTAACCATATGGTTCTTTATTGCACCGTCCTGTATATGCATTGTAAGTCTACGAGAGAGTAGTACGTGTGTGAATAATCGAGAATATTATTTTTTATTTTCGGGTGAAAATGTATTTAATTGGACGAATCTTATCGTTAAGACAAATCGTTCAGGCGAAAAATTTATCTGACGAAAGCTCCAGTTACCGTTAATTTTGTGGCTTGCCAGGTTACTTTAAATGATGCACGAATTGTTGCATGATGTAATTAAATTTATTCGCATTATCAGATGTTAGGCTATTTAATTGTTTGACATTTGAACTTTGATCCGGTCAGTCAGTTTTATTTTCGTTTGAGATCTTGTTCTTGTATGTGATTAGTGTAATGTTGTGTTTGGATGTATGGCGTAAAAATTTATACATTCTTATGTCTTATTGAAAGCTGATTTTTTTTATTTAAAATAAATAAATCTTTGAAATAATAAACACATCAAAATATTTATCAATGTTATACATAATAACTCTTGCTAACTACCAAGTAATTTTAAAAAATTTAGTTTATTGTGCATATGGATGAAAGAATTTATAAGATTAAACATGATTATACGCAGATTTGGACTGGGTCGCCAGGATACCGGAAAATTCCCGGGGGGATGGCTGCCGCCAACTGCCAAAAAAGTTATTACTTTTTGTTTTAGCAGAAATTACTTTTAATTATATGACCGTTTTAATAGTCTAAATATATTTACATAATAAACATTATTGATTTATAGTTTCAATTTTTTTAACAGATTTCTTTGTGCCGATAAAATAAGAACGAAAAGCTGGAAATAGTTGAAATAATGGGCCATGTGGTAAATAAACATTTAAAATTAATTAAAAGTGTAATGTTGTCTAAGCTTGAAGCAATTAAAGGAAAAGTACCGAAATGTCATCATATGAATCCGGGGTTTTATGGTTGAAACATCGTCACAAATTTACAAACCTTGCAAAACAATATATTAGAAATGTTTGATTTATTCTACATTAAGACATATTCTAAAATTTTAAAGATTTTTTGTACAAAAGACGTTTACAATAAACAAATCATAATTATAAACATCAAAAGCTCATCTTTTAATGGCAACATAATTAACAATGCATCGACAACATAATCAACTGATTGTCGGTAAAAGTAGACCAATAAAATCAGCTACAACAACGACATCAACGATCCATAATGACATCAACATCATCAACAACAACAAAACTCTAATTCAATGTGTAGTGTGTTTGAAGACGTTTAACAATTCAAGCGCGCTAGCCAAACATAAGTTGATTCACAGTGATGATCGTAAATATTGTTGCCCCGTCTGTACCAAGTCATTCAAAAGACAGGATCATCTGTAAGTTTTCATTTTGGTTTTAATTTGACGTCTTTCAGATGCTTTATGTTTTTAATTTTCAGATCACTTATACTGCTCACAAAATATTTAAGAATATTTTGTTTTTTATAACTATTGCAAGAAAAAAATCTTAGTAAGATACATCCAAAGAAAAAAACCAACAAACAAAAGTTAAAAAATCTAAATGAACTCAAATAATTTAATCAAAAATTATTGGCATTATTAACAAAAAATAGAGCATTTAAGTTCAATTGAATATGAGCATTTAAATTAAATTGAATATGTTTGAAAATTAATATTTTGGAGTGAATGAAAATTATAAATTTATTAATTATTTAAAAGGTTTGTTAATGGCATTATCTGTTAGATGCTCTGTTGAGCACATGAGATGCTTAACATCAAAAGTAAAACAAAAATGATGACGTCGGGATGAAATGGAGGCTGTGCAAAGTTTTGAATAAAACCAGATAAGTTTAAGATATTTGACAAGAACTGTTGTAAACTAGTGAAATTTGGACAAGAGGAGAGACAAAAGTAAATTGCAATAGTGTGTTGTTGGGAATTTGGAAGAGGATATTATGAAAACTCGTGACTCTATGATCTATTACTGACACTACGGAATGAACTGCGGTGAAAAAACGTTTGGCAGGAAAATGGTGTTATGTCTGAGACTCCTGGTCCTGCTTTTGCAGTGATTAGGTTAAAATGCAAAGAAATCTTGGTCTATCACGTATATTCACTTGTATTCATGAAGGAATGAAGTTTGGAGAGGATATTATAAAAACTCGTGACACTATGACTGACACTACGGAATGAACTGCGGTGAAAAAACGTTGGGCAGCAAGATGGTGTTGTTATGTCTGAGACTCATGGTCTTGCTTTTGCAGTGACTGGGTTAAAATGCAAAGTAATCTCAGTCTGCAAAACTTGTCACAAAAAATCTTAAGTTCGATCACGTGACTCCAATCTTGAATGACCTACACTGGCTAAAAATTGAAAAAAAAAATTATCGGCACATTTTTTTGAGAACTTCCCAGCGTGAAGTTAAAACTGCAAAAAAAAGAATACAAACTGTTTAAAGTTCCGAAGAAGTTCTCAGCCTTGATAATAGCACCGGCTGCATTAGCACCAAACAAATTGAGGAAGTGTGCAGCACACGGAACAAAATATGCCAGTTTGTTTTTCTGCAATAATCTAGACTGTACTTTTTTATATTTTCCCGCCATATTTGCCCCGTTGTCATAGGATTGACTTCTACAATTCTCCAATTTAATTCCATCTATGTCTAATTTTTTTGAATTTCTTGACTGGGAAAAAATCAATAAAGCTTTCTTTTATTTTCGTTGTATCTTTTTTGAAGTTACGAACTACCTGAGTCATTTGTTCACTGTGACTGATATCTGGAGTGCAAAAATATTTTGCATCCAAAAAGTTTTGTATTATTCTTTACTTTATGTTATTAGCAATAATTTCTAGAAACTCATTTTGCGTTTTATGTAAAAAATATGATATTTGTCCTTTCTTATGCCGCTCAATGTGTTGTTGAAGAGGGACATTATAACGAGAAATAAGTTCAACTGTGTTTAAGAACTTTCCCCTAGATGGGTCACTGAAATCACAGTTTTCTTTAGTTCCTCGAAATGGACTCCCATGTTTTGCCAAGATTAGAACAGCATCTATAATAGAGCGCAATACCGCTTTCCAGTCCAACTATTCTTGATGGATCTGATTTTGGAGTTCTGCACCAATACTTCCATTTACTAAACTAGATTCTAAAGTTCTCCAAGAGCAAAAGCAAAGTTTATGGTTGGATGATTTTTCACGTTCAGGGGAAACTTTTCACTGAGTTTTTTTCCAATTGTCAAGTCCTTTTTCTTTACCTATAGAAGATATTTGTTTTGAAGCTAAGCGTGGAAACAGCTTCTAGGGAATACAATAGAGAGCGATATTATTTTCATTATAAGCTAACCATGATCTTTTTACTTTTTGTCCATTTTTGAGAATTTTATAAAACCAATCTTTGGTTAAATTGCGTCCTTCTCTGCTACTATTAATTAAATTTGGTTCAGCCAAATTTTCAAATCTCATTTTTGTTATGAAACTACTTTCTGAATCAGAAAAATTTTGTGGCCATGAACCAGGATCACTGAAATTAAAAGGGAATAAAGATAAACTAACAAAATATTTTCGCGGCGTGAATTTAATTTAAAATGGCGTGTCTGCAAAACTCAAATAAACAAAAGATTACAAATAAGATAAATATTCCGTTTTTAATATTTGCGTTTGTATTATAATGTTTGTATATAAAAAAAAACAATACAAAAAGAATATAAAAAAGTAATACAAAAAAATCAAATTTACTTTAATCCGAACTGCTCATACATACACAATATGATTGCATATAGGGCGAATCATCGTTCGGGCAAAAAATGTATCGGGCGAAGGCTACAGTTACCGTTGTTGCGTTATGTCTGGCACCAGCTTAATGATTCAACCGAAATTGTTTATATTTTCCATTGATTTTTCTCATTCCAAATGAACTACACTTGTCGATTTTTAATTTCATGCCCGTTCATTCACACAAGGCTTGGTTAAGATCGATCAACTTTTGGACACCCTCCTTTGCAATAATTGCTGAGTCGTCAGCAAATTAAAGCCAACCCCTAGATTTTTATTTGGCTGTAGGTCCCCATATATATCTGATCTGCTGGTATTCTTTTGCTTCGAGTATTTTCATCAGAGGATTAAAAGAAAAATTGAAGAGCAATGGAGAACTCGGGTCACTTTGGTCCCTTTTTACTTGGATAGGTGAAGTTAGTTTGTTGCACACCCATACAGTTGCTGACCTGACTTGGGATGTGGTGATAACTTAAAACAGATGAAATTAGATCGTGGCTAACATCACCGAATGCATTGCGTAAATCCAATGAGCTAACAATAATTGTTCTCTGATGTTTTTTAGCGTCTTTTAGCAGGTGAGATAATAGTTGCGTGTTTTTAGCTACACCGTCAACTTTGGGATAGAAGCTCTTTTGAATGTTTTTATTGATGAGATTATTTAAATCCAGATATTTGTATAATCTATTATTTATGAATGAGAAGAAAATTTTATAGAATACTGGTTGAAGTGTTATTGGCCTGAAATTTGCTGGGTCGTTGGCATCCCCCTTTTTGTAAATTAATATTGTCAGCCCTTTTTTCCAGCAGGAAAGAATCGACGACGCTCTCCAACATTCAACCAGTAACTGATGAAGGATTGTGCGGAGTATTAGACATTTTTTAAGAACTATTACTGACATCTGATCCAATGGGCAAAGAGATGCTCTCGACTTGCATTTCCGGATAATTGAAAAAATTTCTTTATATGTGGGAGGATTGGTATCACAGGCTATTGAGGAATTTGGTAATGTTTTGATCCAATTGGGTAGGCGATGTGTGTTGTAGCACTAATCCTTTAAAATGTTGTTGAATAATTTTTCACATGTTGCCCAAAATTTATGTTTTAATTGGTTTGTGATATCGAGTGTTTTTTCAATTTTATTTCGCTTTGTTGATGCTATTCTTGATCTTATTTGTTTACTTAGTTTTAATTTGGAGGTAGAAGTTGTGGTTTTTGCGATCTAGCAGCTTTAGTTGTTTCAGTTCTTTCTTTAGTTTGTTGATTGGTTTGTCAACTGTTGTTGTTCAATTTGATTGTTGTTTAATTGTACCTTAGGTTTATGCAAAGTAGTTGTATATTAATGACTGAAAACCGGTGGTGAAGTTATCAATGTCAGCGCTGTTTGGTAGATCTGATCTTGGAAAATGGAAGTATGCATTGGCCTCAGACCATTGAATTGTTGTTTTAGGTAACTGTATCCTTGGAAGTGGAGCATTTTTCATGAGGGTATCGGTTGACGACGACGATGATGGAGATGCCCGTTGGTGAGACGGAGATGATGGTTGGGGTATCTTTGCCGTGGCGACATTTGTTGATGACGACGTCGATGGAGTCGCCGCTGGTAAGGTGGAGGTGATAGTTGTGATAATTCTGCATTGGTGGTGGTGTTTGCTGGCGTCAGCATGTTGGAATCCACATTAGGGCCGTTTGGAGAATTTGTCGAATTTTAGATAAAATAGAGTAAAAAAATAAATAAAAATCCGTTATGTAGTCTACGATGCTCGCCATTATATCAAAATAAAATGCGTACAATTAATAATAAAAGATCAGTCTAAAAACAGTTTTAATTCATTCGAGTTTTTGTCGCAAAAGATAGCATACGATGTTGATATTGCTGAGTTAGTAATATCATGATAAAATTGGTCAGACCAATTAAAATTCACCAGCGATAAGTTAAAATGTTTAAAAAAAGCCTAGTGGGGAAATTTCAAATGTGTTGATATTAATTTTGAGGCCTTTCTTCTCGTCGACCAAATTGTTATGGATGTTATATTTCTATCAGTTAATTAAACGATCTACGTGACAAGAAATTTAACAGGTTATGTGCCCAGATAACGTTTTTTTAACAATTTATTGATTTGACGAAAAAAATTTTAAATAAAGAAATATTGGAAGATTTTTTTGAAGACTGAAGTGAAGAGAAAACATCCTCATTCTCTTAAAGTCAATATTTTGCTTCAAATTAAAAAGGTCAAATTGAAAGACAAGGAAGAAATGAATCTAGCAAATCAAACACCTAGAAGGCAAAAGTAATTGGTTGAATTGGAAATCAAGAGTTTTTATAATACTACGCGGCATTCCTGATGCAATGGTCGTAGTAAATGGCAAATTAAAAGGTCCAGATGAATTAAACGATGACTCAAATGAAGATGTGATAGCAAAATATCAAACTTCTTTGAACAAATTCAATAAAGCAGATTGTAATTTTATGAACCAATATTGCTGTCAACCAATATGACCGATGAAACGTATGAAAAAGTTCGTTCATTTAGTAATGCCAGAACTTTACTTGGCTAGAACTTTATAGATTATATGAATGATGAAGTTAATGAAAATAAAG